CCTAATGCAAGTATCCTAATTTAGCAGTCACTGAACCATGAAAATGAGACCAAGGACAGCAGACATACATGTATCATGAGACGGGTTGATGTTTTGTTTATTAATACTCCATATTTCTAAAGCAATCGTTAAGTGATGTTTTGGGTACAAAATTGCAATTCTAGTAATGTTAAAGTCAACTGTTGATGTCATTCAGTTGATTGATCAAACATAATTCAAATGAAATAAAATCATGAAAATAGTGCAGACCGAATTTTTCCATTCCTACATTTAGAAGTGTTAACTACAATCTTAATCTCATATGTTCATAATGCCACATTTTTTTTAAAGTATGGTTTCAAGAAATTTGTCTTGGAATCTCTATTTATTTGAGTGCATATCTAATTTTACAAAACAATATTTATCTGATTTCAGTAATCTGGATCATTGTGATACATTGTAGGTAATTAGTTTGTCAACAAGTGAGACACAAGTTTTTCCAAACATTATATAATTCCTTTGATTGTTTTGTTTGGTTGCTGTCTCACTGAACAGACCTATATTCCATTTCCCCTTTAATCCAGAAAATATAACTCTTGATATAGCAACTGAATTTCATATGATGGACAACAAATGCCAAATGATGTAAATTAATTCAAGTGGCAGGGTCAGGGGGTGGTGAGGTAAAAGATGAGGGAAAGGCATGTGCATTTACCACAACTGCCACTTGATATTATGATTTCCAAAATCTACAAATCTCTATAGCTACATTCAGTATTAAAGACAACTGCATATATTGCAGTTTGTATGTCATGAATCATGTTTGCAGCAAAATTCACTGCAGGCAGCAAAAAATAAATTAAAACAGCTCTATTAAAAAAGGAATTTTGATTCATATTTTGATTCATTTTTTGAAACAATTTTGATTTTTATTCCTCAAATGTCTATGAGATCAAATTTATAGAACATTAATTAACATTGTAAATTCCAATATAATTATTGACATGTATACATCATGTACATGTACAACCAATAACTGTGATCAGCCCCATATTTTCACTATTTTATATCAATATTCTTCTTCAGTGTTGTTTAATTGACTCAGTAATCTCTATTCATCATTGAGACATGTAGGTCCTTTTGATCTTAGATTTGTATATGGATTTTGACAGTACTTAGCATAAAGTTCCAAATTATAGTTTAACTTGGCTTCTTAAGTGGATTCTGGCAACACATTGCATATAGTCACCAAGTATAGTTGATATTGGGTTCTCATATGGATTCTGACAGTACTTTGATTATACATGTAGTTCCAAGTATTGCTGATATTGGCTTCAAGTGTTGTTCTAGCTCTAGTTTCAGCACTTTACATATAGTTCCCAATTGCAAGGCAAGATGAACTTGGCTTCTCATGTAAATTCTGTCGGTACTTTGCCAATAGTTGAACATTCCAGAGCCTTTTACAACACATCACTAATTCCTCTTACATGTACGTGAAGCCTGAAATTAAATGTCAGAGTAATTCTGTCAGAAAATCAACTATGATTGACATTTAACATGTTTAAATGTATTACATTATATCTTTAAAAAAATGAAGAATTTGTGGTGATCAATAATGAGCCAACAAAATAAAATTACATGCACGGCAAGTATAAATGGGGATTTTGTTTTTATCATAAACAACTGTTTATCCTGTTCAATATTCATACTTCTCAAGGCTTGCTGTTTGGCTGCCTGGGACAAGTAATTTCTTTGTCTTAAATTCTGAAATGCAGCTGAGCTGCATTTGTACTCCTCGTCGACCAAAATATGTTGAGGTTACTTGTACCCTGTATGGAATATGCATGGGATACACAAATTTTGTATTTAAAAATACTAAGCACAAAACAATATTGAATTTTGAGTTTTGAAAATTAACCTTCGACTCAAACGTATGTGTTATTTGGTAAACTAAATGAACCCTATGTTTGAATCTTGATACTGAAGATAAAGAAAATTTCTATGTCAAAGAGAGAGGGGGTTAATTGTAAACAAATTATGATCATGACGAATCCATCAATACAATATATTGCCTCGTACTGTAGGGGTGATAATTTACAAATTAGGTCATTTATTTTCTCTAGAAAACAAATAAAACAATCTAACTATTTGAGGGAGTGGATAGAGGTAAGGGAACATGGGAATGAGAGATCAGGAAGCTAGAGTCAGGGGGCTGGAAAAATATGGGTAATTGGGTTTGATAACTCCCAAAAAACTTTCTCACCCTACACGTTTACCCCCTGGGTTAGTTCGCAACCTATTTTTATTTTATTCAAATACATGTTGAATTATTAGATGTATTTTAAGATATAAATAGAACTATATTTTCATGAATAAATTTTTGTGATCTTTTTAAATGAAATATTTTTTGGGTGATTACATGATTAATTATTAAATGTGAATTATTTATGATTACTATTAATTGATAATTTACAAAGCTAATAAGGTATTATTGTAATGTGTATGAAAATCTTGATTGCTGTTATATCTAGCTTTGGTGTACATTGAAAATAAAAGTAACTAGTTTGTTAGGAGTAAAAATATTGGAGATTTTTAATAGAAAAGACCAGATAATTGTTTTTAACAGCCTATGACCATTGCTCTCGTGTGTGTCACTTTATTTTTAAACAAATATAAAAACTTAATATCTTTATTTAATAGTAATACAATAAGGCCAAACAAACAAAAATTAATTAAATAGATATAAGAAGATGTGGTATGAGTGCCAATGAGACAACTCTCCATCCAAGTCAAAATTTATAAAAGTAAACCATTATAGGTCACAGTACGGTCTTCAACAAGGAGCCTTGGCCCACACCGAACAGTAAGCTATAAAGGGCCCCAAAAAATTACTAGTGTAAAACCATTCAAACGGGAAAAGCATGATTAAAAAAAGGGTGCAAACAGACCCAGGGTGGGAACGTGTGGGGTGCGAATGTAAAAGGTGGTGAACGTGAGTGGGAGCAAACATGATTTTGGGTAAAAGGACCAGGATTCGAAAAGGGGGGGGGGAAAGAACTGAATATTCTGGGAAATACATTTTGCCAATTTGTTGTCTGGGAGTAAGGGGGATGGAAGTCAAAGTAGGGGGAGGAAATTTTAGAGTAGAGGGGAAGAGAAATGGGAGTTAGGGATAGGGAAGTGGGAGTCAGGGACCGCTGTCCGAGGGTAGTAATGGGGTACCCTACATGAGGAATGGCGCTAAAATATTTGTTAGAATAACGTTAACGATAAATATTTTACTCCAACTGACGCTAACCTAAGACTACTGTAACACATATATTTGTGTTATAGTAGTCTCAGCGCTAATGTAGCTACGAAATTAGATTTTACGAATGACGATAAAAAATAAAGGTTCATTAGACGCTAACGGTAGTAAAAAAAGGCATTTGTGATGCTTAACGGTAAAGGGCATTCCTACCCTGTCCATCCCCTCCTCTTTGACATGGATATTTTCCCAACAGGTTATACATGTTCACAACTTGCCGGTTAAGGGTCATATAAACACATAAATATGATACCATCCATAACGATTATACTTAGAACAGAAATTTACCACATGCAAGGATTTTCTACAGCAGCGAGTATTTTGAGACAACCCCCCACTTTGTATTTTTTCGTGATACTGATAACATTTGGCTGCCTAAAATACTAAAATCTATGTTTTCTTATGTAATGGTTCTACCTTCATCGTTGTCTATTCGCCACAATGTCTGTTAATTTTGTACATGATCGTATTCATCAAAGGTGTATGCTGCTCAACAATGGCGACCCTGGAATTTCTGTTGTCCAATTATGGCGCCAAATTAGAGGGAAACAACTCGCGCCAGACAAAATAACCGTATTTCACCAAAATAATCAAAATTTCGCTTTTTCATTACAAACAATTATATGTTAAACACATTTATATTCAGATATCGTCCATTGATATAATTGCAAACATTATTTTATTAAAGCGATCAATAAAACATTTACAACAAAGTAATTAATGGAGTGCATTCAAATCAGACCTCGTGTGGTAGAGGGGTATAACAAAAGTCCACACCTATTTAATAAGCCTGGTGACCCCCATTTTATTTTACCTTAAAATGCTCGAACAGTTCATAGCTTTGACATATCCGTTTTTTTTAAAAATCCACCGGGGAAATTTTACGAAAAATTGTTTTAATCAATATCTTTAGCCTTAAACTGAAATTGGAAAATGCAAAATTTAGACATAAATCTGAAAATAAAAGGATTTTTAAGTCTAAAGCAACCAAGCTTTAAGGGAAACGTTTACATTTCAAATTTTAATGTTTTTTCTAGGGATGTCAACGAATACTCGAGTATTCGAGTATAGTTCGGTAGTACCAAGTATCGAATACCAAAACGATGCTTGATTAATCGGTTTCCTGTTAGAATATTGCTGTCTTCTTTATATAAAAATGATGTTCTTTAGAACCTCTTTCGGAAAACTAGACATCACTGAGTAATCATACTAGTAAATAAAATTACATTTTGTTTCGAACGCTTGTGCTAAATTGTCATTTAAAATGCCTCCGAAAATACGTATACTAAGCTATACCTATGCTAACAGTTTAAACTAAACATGTCTTATTAACCATTCCGTCACATCGTTACCGTCAGGGTAAATATTTTCATCCGAGTACTCGATTAGTGATTATTCACCGAGTTGACATTCCAAGTTTTGTCACATTATAATCACACTGACTTGGTTCTAAAAGTCTTTGAATTTGATGTAGCCGTTATTGTTGAAAGTGTGGAAATGTTTGGAAATAGGGTCAAAATTGCACATTTCGCTTCCATTTGAGGGAAAAACGAGCGTAATGACCCCCTTATTTCTTTGCATTTTTGGATTCAGCATAAAAAGATCTACAAAATATGTGAAAATTAAAACATCCTACCAGGGGTCCTTAGGGTGAGTCACCTTAAATGAATATAAAGCCTTAACATAGCAGAACAAAATATCTTTAACATCATACCTAAATTATCCGTTGTCTCTACTGACTGTGTTGTGCTTTGAGTAGTCTCATCTGGTTGCGACGTCATTCCATAAGTGGTTTTTGCTAAAGCAATGAAAAGTAATTGGTGCTTTTAGCATTAATATAGTAATCATGTCATCTATATGCAAATAATTCAATCAGAATGGAAATGTTCGGTAAATTGTATACATGGCATGTTTGGTACAACGATTGAATATGATTTGGTGAGACTTTGCATTTGTTAGTGAATGTATAATGGCCGTATATGACTTTACTGGATAAATTAATAGATACAAAAATGTATTTTTTGGAAAAAATATATTTTGAGAAGTTCGATTTACAAAACAGTATCCTTTATACATTTGAAAATCTTTCTAATAAATCACGAATGATAGAAATTCACACCGTATCACCAATTCACTCTCCCTAGAAGATAGCTGACATGAGATTTATTTGGCTATAAATCTATGGTACCTTTTGGTTATACAGCTCTGTATGTGTTTCGGTTATTATACATTCCTGGTTTCATTGGTTTCAATTTTAAATACTTGGCGTTTAGCGTTCATTGTGAAGGTCTTTTTCAGTCCCATATACTTTATAAAGTGTTATTTTAATTCTATTTTACTTATTTCATGTGAGTAAATAAACTTTTTTATTACAACCAAACATTCGGTTAGTATGTGGTCAGTATAATCTATAAAGAAACACATCAGAGTAAGGGTACATATTTTAAACTTATGCTCACGTATAGCTTACCTATAGCTTCTTCGACAACAATTTTGTCTGTGTTAATCAACTTAATAAGGTCAAACTCAGGTGACGGGTTTGATTTGATATTTTCCACTGCTTGTTTTGTAATATTTGTTATAGTTGTTTCAGATTCTGTTGTCCCCGGTTTAAGTTCTATCATATAATCCGCAATAACACTACCATTCCTAGTTAAATTACACGAGAAGGTCATGAAAGTCATGAAGGTCATGCAATTCAAATGAAATTTAATGAAAAAAAAAATCAATTATATTGAAAACCGACGTTAGTTCACCGATGGTTACGTTAACCATACTATTCAATGTATTCATAGGAATCTGTTATATAATGTACTTTTTCAAAAACAAGTTCTGATAATTATTGATTATTTATGTCTAGATACAATATCAAAATCTTTGTCATACGTAAAACACTCGCCTTTGAAACAATAAGATAAATCAGGGTGTAAAACACTTACACTAACATTGGTGAAAGGCATACCACACCATGGCAAAAGAGAAACACAAACAGGCAAACAATAGTTCAACATTGGACAGAAAACTAAACATGTTTGCAACACAAATCCCGACCACCCCTGGAGACGAACGAAGATGCTCTGGAATGATGTGATATACTGCTGCACTTGCATTTTTTTTAATCAATGTTATATGACAATAAAAGATTATTGCATTCGGTGACATCCTAAAATAGGAAAAGAAGGATGTACCATCATTCATATTAAGAACGTACCAATTATATATGTGAAACAAGCTCTATTCGTGTGCAATATCTACACGGTACTAATATGAACAGGTGACAGATATTATAAGTATAATATTTGAAATATACATTGTGTCAGGTATATCTGGCCAAATTGCAGGGGAAAACAATAGGCAAGTAGAACATTAAAAATGTGTCAGACATATATTTATATATATCAATGAGACATGTACAACTTGCCTAAATTATTTTTATGTACAATTGTATCAAAAATACGAATCAAGTATAATTTGCCTAAATACAGGTATATCAGTGATATCAGTAATACATAACTTACCTAAATCCAGTGATTGTTAAATTCTGTATATCATCTCTGATTGTTGTATTTTCATACATATTCGTAAGCTGTGAATATTAATAATCATATGTTTTACCTACTCATCTGAAAGTCTTTTTCCTAGAGAAATCATTTGACAAAACTTTGTCTTGATATCAAAAATCAATTAATCCATTTAAACCAAAAGGGATAATTTCTTGTAAAAGCAATGTATATATACGACTTCCAATATCATTACGTTACCGTAAAATCTATTTTTTTAAATGACGTCATTGACGCCGATTGAACCTGATGTAAATCATTAACAACAAACATTTCGAGACTGGACTATTCATCACAATTGAAAAAGAGAAATGTGTTTCCTTCAGTGTCATCTGGAAAGATACGTGAGCTCATTTAGCGACAAGGATATAACATTCAATTTTTAGAAATACCTAGGATTTTTGAACCCCAGGATTACATTACCTTAGCTATATTTTGCAAAATCCTAAGGAATTTGATGTCCTTAATGCCCTTCAACTCCGTACTTTTGTTTTTTTATTCGAGCGTCACCGATGAGTGTTGTGTAAACGAAACGCGTGTCTGTCGTACAAAATTTTCAGTTACACCTTTGCACCAAGTATATCATACTCTTGAAAAGGCAAAAAAACATCCTATAAGAAGCAGTAAATCAATTGAAATTCGTTTACTTTAATATCACAACGAGATTTTAATTACAGCAGAAGCTGTCTAGGTTTATTTTGTGTATAGGAAATAGTGAAGTATCTTCCGGATAATTGTTGTATATGTCTGATACAGTCTTTTTGAAACTTACCTGCTTAGTAAAGTTTTTATGTAAGTCTAAATATTCTGTGCTTGAGGAGTTAGCATATGCTGGATTCCAAGTTTTATCCATTGTCACAGAAGCTTCAAACTGTCCTGGAAGAATATGTTAATAACATAATTGGCATGGTTTTTTTTTGTATTTCGGAGTTCATTTATATATATAAAGATGTGCATTTTTTATAAGTTCTCTTTCATGGAATAATATTTTAAATTTAGATGAAATGCAGTACTGGAAGAACTTTAATGTTAGTATAACACACTTCAAAACATTAATTTACATCAAATAACTGCTTTTTGTCATACTGGAGCACCCGAGTCTTCTCCTGCTTACTTTAGTGAGGTGCGTGTTGTTCAATCTTTGCGATTCTGTGTAAAGTTCTGTGGACTATTTTGTCATTTTGCATTCAAATAATATTTTCTGTCTTTCTATTGCTTGGAATTGTGAGTTCCCCCCTTGGTATCTTCCCCCGTGTTTGTATCATTTACTTACTTGACGTATCAACCAATCCTGATGAAGAAGTTGATAATGGTCCTAAAGTAGTTGTAAGTAACTCTGTGGTAGTGTCTGATGCAGTTGTTAGAGGTTCTGTTGTAGTAACTGATTCGGTAGTTGTCAGAAACTTTGTCGTAATAACTGATTCAGTACTTGTTTGTGGCTTTGTTGTAGTATCTGGTTCAGTTGTTGTGAAAGGTTCTTGTGTAGTTTGTGATTTAGAGGATGTCAAATGTTCTCTTGTAGTTACGGATTTTGTAGATATTTGTGGCTGTGTTGTTATAACTGATTCAGCAGTTGTTGGAGCTTCCTTTGTAGTGACTGATTCTGTATTTGTTATCGACTTTGTTGTAGTAAAAGATTCAGGTTCTTGTGTAGTTACTGACTTAGAGGATGTTAGAGGTTCTGTTTTTATAGTTGTTAGAGGCTTATTTGTGGTAACCGATTCCGTAGTTGTTTGAAGCTTTGTTGTAGTAACTGATTCAGTTATTGTTAAAGGCTCTGTTGTTGTAACTGATTCAGGAGTTGTTGGCGGTTCTGTCGTAATAAATGATATTTTAGTTGTCTGTGGCTTTAATGTAGAAACTGATTCAGGAGTTGTTAGGTGCATTGCTGTTATAACTGATTCAGTTGTTTTTGGAGGTTCTGTTGTGATAACTGATTTTATAGTTGTTAAAGGCTTATTTGTAGTAATCGATTCAGTAGTTGTTGGTGGCTTTGTTGCAGTGACTGATTCAGGAGTTGTTGGAGGTTCTGTTGTAGTGACTGTTTTTGTAGTTGTAAGATGTTGTGTTATAGAAAGTGATTCAAGAGACGTTAGAGGTTCTGTTGTAGTTACTGATTCTGTAGTTGTTTGTTGCTTTGACGTAATTGAGTCGGTAGTTGTTAGGGGCTTTGCTGTAGTAAATGATTCCGTTGATGTTAGAGATTTGTGTGTAGTTAATGATTTTGAAGGTGTTAGAGGTTCTGTTGTAGTTACTGATTTTGTAGTTGTTTGTGGCTGTGTTGTTATAAATGAATCAAAAGTTGTTGGAGGTTCTTTTGTAGTACCTGATTCTATAGTTGTTGTAGTAACTGATTCAGCTGTTGTCACAGGCTCTGTTGTAGTAATCGATTCAGTTGTTGTCATAGGCTCTGTTATAGTAACCGGTACAGTAGTTGTCAGAGGCTCTGTTGCGGTAACTGATTCAGTAGTTGTCAGTGGCTTTTTTGTAGTAACTGATTCAGTTGTTGTCACAGGCTCTATTGTAGTAGTTGATTCAGTAGTTGTGAGTGGCTTTGTTGCAGTAACCGATTCAGTTGTCAGAGGCGCTGTTGTAGTAACCGATTCAGTTGTTGTCAGAGGTTCTGTTATAGTGATAGATTCAGTAGTTGTCAAAGGCTCTGTTGTAGTTATTGATTCAGTAGTTGTCAAAGGCTCTGTTGTAGTTATTGATTCAGAAGTTGTCAGAGGCTCTGTTAAAGTAACCGTTTCAGTTGTTGTCAGAGGTTCTGGTATAGTGATAAATTCAGTAGGTGTTGTCAGAGGCTCTGTTGTAGTAACCGATTCAGTTGTTGTAAGCGGTTCTGTTGTAGTGACAGATTCAGTTGTTGTTAGAGGCTCCGTTGTAGTTACTGATTCAGTGGTTGTCTGTGGTGCTGTTGTAGTGACAGATTCAGTTGATGTCAGAGGCTCTTTTGTGGTGACCGATTCAGTTGTTGTCATAAGCTCTGTTGTTGTGACAGAGTGAGTTGTTGTCATAGGCTCTGTTGTAGTTACCGATTCAGTTGTTGTTAGAGGCTCTGTAGTTGTAACTGATTCAATTGTTGTCAGAGACTCTGTAGTAATAACCGACTCAATTGTTGTCCGATGCTCTTTTATAGTAACTGATTCGGTAGTTGTTAAATATTCTGTTGAAGTCTGTGGTTGAGAAGTTGTTGTTTGTGTTTCAGTTGAGGGCGCATCAGTTGTTGTTTCCGGATTACATGTCGCACAACAGTCAACTGGTACTACAGCACAGTTGTATGGTGCAATAGCGTACATGTCAGCACATGTCCAGTCTTGATTACTAAATATCCGCCCTCTTTTGTCGCCGTATAAACAGTTTTCTGATATAAAATATAAAATAGTAGGTGAACTTGCAGGTCTCAAAGTATAAACTTCTCTTTAAAAACAACAATAGTTTGTTATACTATGTTTAAATCTCGTCGATACATCTAGAATACAAGTTTGCATTGCAAGTGAAAACAATTGGAGGAAATACACGAATAAATAAGGAGAAGACTGGGGGCGTCGACAAGATTTGCATCTCCGGCTTTTCATGCTTTATTCGCCATGAAAAATTTTCCTCAGTCAAAGGTAACAATATTCTTTTAAATTAACAGATTAGACTACTTTTTTAACAAGATGCATTTTATGCTTGTATGAATTTGAGATTGTGATAACAGTGTTCATTATTGTTGTAGATCTTAGAAGTTTATATTGTCCGATGCTTCAACGAATCATTAAGTTTTATTTTTTAAAGCCTTCCAAAATGATGTTGAATGAATATTGGCATCCATACCTATAAGACATCACGTGATATTTAATTTTTACGAACTAACATAAAGCTAGTTAAATATATCTTGTTACACTTACCATTTCCGCTAGGAGCATTGCTATCTGATGTACATAAACCAGAAACGCACCACTGCAAAGACATTCAATATTAGATATAAAACAGATACAAAGGATTTTAAAAGGATTAACAACTCGACCAAAGTAGCTTTTAGCTCATGCATCAACGTCGCATATACTATACTCAAAGCTAAAAAAAAAACAACAAAAATTAAAATATACTTACAGTACGGTAAGGTTTATTTTAAATGCATTAAATTTGTATATGGCACACGGTTTTCCATGTGAGTAAACGATACTTCACGGAAAAACCTCGGACTAGATGTTGTTTGTTCATTCTTTTCAAATTGATTGGTTAAAAGCAATCGAATAGAGACCGTGTATATATTTCATATGGGGTTAGTAGGCGGACTTATTTCTATGAACGGTAAGAAGTGGTGTTACGTCCCTTAATAAAAATAACACGGTGTTTGAGGAATATCTGAATGGTTTTCTACCTCAGGAGTAGATTACCTATAAGTTAGCTTTATCTGGCAAATTTTTAGGAATTTTTGGTCCTAAATGCTCTTCAACTTCGTACTTATTTGCCTTTTGAACTTTTTTTTGATGCAAGCGTCACTGATAAGTCTTTTGTAGACGAAACGCGCGTCTGTCGCAATTATTAAATGTTAATTCTGTTATCTGTGATGAGTTTATTTTCAACAAACTAAGAAATTGATGATGAACGATTGAAAGAAATAAATAAAACACATTTGAAGCTAACATAGTGTTATTGTTGGCAATTGTTTTTGAATATCATGAATATAACAATGAAAGTATTTTCGTGATATTAAGTATTGAAGGCTAAATCACTTTGATAAGCCACTAGTCTAAATATGTTAAGATAAATCGGTAAGATAAATTCGTTACACAGTGTGCTATTGAGCAAACGATATAGATGAGGTCAGTAAATTTCATACTACAATGTACTACGGGTTTGAACTTTGCTATATCGTATTAGGTCACTAGCACATTATATAACTAATAATATTAAAGATATCTGCATCTAAATTGAAAATTGTTTTTACCACAAAATATTTCACTTTAAAAAGACACGAAAAGTGCTAAAATAAGATGATTGCTTTTCGATCTTTTTCTTTTACCTTCAGGGTAACAATATCTTTCCCTTTTTAAGAAATTGCTTTTTGATAAAGGAAGGTGTACCAGGCTTATAATTTGATACGCCATTATAGCTGCAGAAAGTACCTTCTACTGCTATTGCCACAGACAACTGTGTAATCTTTGGATTATAGCAGCATATTTGACTGCATATTGATTCAAAGTTACCATTGTACAGTCCCTAAACATGAAAGGAGGTGAAAAGCATACCTTATTGTTGCCACACAAAGTTCCTTCTCCTGCTATTACCCCGGAAAACCGTGCAATCGCTGGATTATAGCACCATAGTAGACTGCATATAGATTCAAAGTTACCACTGTACAGATTCTAAACATAAATAAGTGAGAGATTTAGCTAGCTAAAAAACCAGGATTAATCCATCATTTACTACCTAAGTAAATGTATGTACTAAGTCAGGCATATGACAGTTATTATTCATTCTTTGAAGTGTTTGAGCTTTTGGTTTTTTCAGTTGCTTAGGGACTTTCCATTAGAATTTTCCGCGGAGTTCGGTATTTTTGCTATTTTTCTTTTTTGCATCGGAAAGTGGATATTCAAGAGCATACTCTTTATGAGCTAGATTATATTAGATTATAATGAATATCAATACGTATGTAAACCCGTTTCGGGTTCGAAAAACATCTCTACGGATAGTCTAATACTGTTTGAAAATTGAGTCGGTATGAGTTTTACCTAACAAAACAGACCAACATTACTCTTTTAATTCGTATTCGAAAAATGAGGGTGTCTGAGCGTTAATGGAGAGTCAAATGATTAATTAACAATTAAAATTGAGAAATTCAATACAATTTTCAACATTTTTTCTATGTAATGAGGAAGTGTGTATCTCATTTATAAAAGTTTGACAAACTGCATTTTATCTTATGTTGCATACCAAACGTAATGCTTACATATTTATTGATTGTCTCCCATATTAACTTTCTCTTCCATGTGCATGCAATACCTATTCAGTGTTCTTTAGTGTTGTGTTGTATTTTATTTTATTACTATTTCATTGTTGTAACAAAAATCATTGTAATCATTGTATGAAATTTTATACCCTCAAGGGTCCATAATTGGATTAATAAAGTATTCTATTCTATTCTCTTCTATTATATTATATTTACACTAAAGCTTTTGAATGAAATAGCGCGCTCTGCAAACTATCTTCAAAATAAACTCATATGTAAATTGATACGAAAATGAAACATTTTTGTCTGCATTTAAAATTTATCAAAGACAATATTGCATACCCTACTCATGTATGAATTGTTTCCGTAAATGTGTACACATTGGGCGTCGGCGTCATTAACTAGTCCGGCTAATGATTGGTCGTACGGCGCCAATGCCGTCGGGTCAAAATTGGATCCCAATGTCTTCAAACAATTACTTCCGGACCTAAAACGTCAACAAAAGTATATGAATAAGACATAAAAAGCTGTATTCGTCCATGTACATGTACATCTTTTGTTTAATTCTTGTACTAGTCATATCAACTATACTTCGATTAAAATATCCGAAATTTACGTTACCTTATGATCAGTTTGAAATTAGGTGATATAAGAGAAATTTGCAAGAGTGATCCGGGAATTCAAACAATATGACGATTTACAAACAAATGAACGTGTATGCATAAACATGTTACAGAGTCACATATAGACATTACCAAGGTAGTGTGTTTTCAGTGTATGATACCCTTAGATTCGTGGATTGACATTTAATGGCGTAAGATGATAATGTTAATGTAATATAAAAATTAACTAAATGTACTAGACTGACACGATGAGTCGGATTTTTAATGCGCTAGTTCACAAGGTAACAGTTCGCAAGAATATATGCCATCTTACTCGGGCAGATTATCCTCTAAGCCGACTAGTCCTACTCCTTAATGCCCCGTGCAAAGCGAAGAAGCAGCAGATGCCAAATTAAAGTCTTCTGTTTGACCCGGCCGAGTTTCGAACCCACGATCTCCCGCACTTGAGGTGACACACGCTACCATGAGATCACTGGGGCGGTTCAGTGGCATGCAAGGTATTTGATCGTCATAAAAGGTTCAATAACTTTTTGTTATATACAGTCGTGTCTGTGTATGGTGCACGTTGCGTTTGCAAATGTTGTAGTTTAGTGTTTTTATCGTTCCATCATTTTTCTCTTTTAGTTGATGCGTTTCTCTCGGTTTATGTTTATCACCCGGATTTGTCTAAGTGCTTAATCGAATTAAGACTATTTAGCAGCTGTATACTACTGTTGCCTTTATTTGTGAACTTTCTGACAAATATTGCTGTAGATTCTAACTATTCAAATCAACCCCCTTTTTTTCAGACAAACTGTTCCCAACGTCTCACCCATTAACATCCGCTCCTACCCCCTCTTCAACCATTTAACTTCAAATGGGGAATAGTTTTTTTCAGTCCGAACATATGTTTTGTTATCTGCTTGAACACAATACTTTTTATCAATTTCGGGATCAGAATATTTTTCTAGGAAAAAAACATAACCTCCTTTTGAACATGTTGAAATCAAATGGTTGTTCCCTAAGATACGTACGATTCAAGAGTGTTTATCTGTGATGTGAAGTAGGCTGTGGAACACGTTGAAAATATCCATGGATTCCCTGCTTTATTAGAATCTTGTTGAGGACCACTTGATGGAGCCATAATAAAGGCATCGGTCGAACTGCACACGTTTGAAGTACCATCATGTTTGGCACTCAGACTAAAAACATTACAGCAAGTGTTATGATTGTTGTTTCTTGGGTTTTTTTTTTTTTTTGCATCGTTGCAGTGGAAGCAAATGATACAATCATAATCTAATGCTTTTGAAAATATCTGTTTTATACGTGCAATACTAAAATTATCCTGTCGAACCAAAAAACTATTCATACTGCAACTTTTTATTATTCCATGAACTTTGAAAACAAACAAAATTTATTATTAATTAGTTTTCATGCCGAGTTCTTATGAAACCAGACTTAACCTAAAAAAATCGGGTTCATTTTGATTGAGATCAATATTTGAAGAAAAAAACATTGGTCAATTTTTCAACTTATGTTCTAATAATGACAGAGTTTATCTGCATATGAAAATTACCTGTGTCCTAGTTCATGAGTTGCTACAGTAATAATGATAAAATTAAATCCATCCTCTACGATGGATTGACTGAAAGTACCACAAATTGCACCGGTCCAGGCTAGTCCTATAAAAGATTAAATCTATAACATTTAATGATTTTAGCAGATGCATCCCTCAATGATGTTATTTGTAAACTATGTGATTATAAAAAATACATGTTAAGTAAATCGTATTAAGTAGCCGCTTACTGATTTTTATTTCGGGTGCACAGTTTTTTTTTGTAGATTATCTTTATTTTACCTAAAAAAAAAATTGAGATGTGGCATTATTGCCAGTAATTAAGACAAGAATCCACCAAAATTCAAATCAAACATGTTAATATTCTATACTGTGGATTCATTATTTTTCGTGGGGTATCAATTTTCGTGGATTTCGTGGGTACAGATTAACCACGAATTTAAATGATCAACGAATTTCAAATTTTCTATAATGTTTATGCAGACATTGGCAAACCACGAAATCAAATATCCACGAAAATGCAACTTTTTCTCAATCCACGAAAATTGGTACCCACGAAAATAAATGAATCCTTTTTTTTTCCTGCTTTGTCAAGATATGACATTCTTTCCAAACGACATAACATTTTTTATATATGTATGTTCATTTAAACATAAAACCAACCAATAAGATTACTATTCACTTGAGACCACGACTTTAAAATCGTTGTGTGGCCTTCAACAATGAGTGTATGCCTTACTGTAAGTTATGAAAAGGTCTCCACGCGATTGCTTTTAACGAATCATATTGAAATGTATAGGATGTAAGATAAAGTATTATACTGTACATATAAATGATGCGAGGCAAAATATCAATAATCTGAGTCTCATTTCCCTTGAAAACTTCCATAAATTCATCATGTATTATATATATATATATACCCAACTCACGACGTCAATTCCTACACTTCTGATATAGTGCTATCACTAAGGTGTTACTTGAACTATCACCTTAAAATCATTTTTAGTGTATTTTATTCGAAGGTTATATATACGGGGATCTTTGTTGTGTTAATTATATTTTCCTTTTAAATGTTTTACTCGCAAATTTAAAAGAATTATAAAGCCATTCCGACTCAAGTTATTCCTTCAGTAATTCGGCCATGTTAACACACCAAAAGACTACCTTAGCATATCGCTTATGCTATAACATATAATAGATATAAGAAGATGTGATATGAGTGTCAATGAGACAACTCTCCTTCCTAGTCACAATTTGTAAAAGTAAACACTTACAGGTCAAGGTACGGCCTTCAACAAGGAGCCTAAGCTCACACCGAACAGCAAGCTATAAAGGGCCCCAGAAATGACTAGTGTAAAACTATTCAAACAGGAAAACCAACGGTCTATTCTATATAAAAACACATGAAAACGAGAAACTAGAAACACTTAATATCAGGATTATAACTTAAGACAGGTGCAAACAAATGCAGCGGGTTGACACCATTAATATACTACCTCATTGCTATAATATATATAGATATTTTTCACTCGTACCTACCAAGATTTGAATTGGATCCGTCTCTCGTTAAGTCATATCTACAAAAAAATCATTAAAAACATTGTATATTATCACTCAGTGATTACCTATCCTACATTTCAGTACCATAATTTATAAATATTGTGAGCTTCAATTTATCACATACCCCATTGTAAAGCAGTATGATCCTGTTATTGGCCAAAAAATAAATTATATAAAACCATTTTTTTTCTCATCTTTATATAGCAATTGTCTGAATTGGGTAGATCAAACCTACATTTTCGATTTATTTGATGCAATATTTGAAATCATTATAAAATTCATACTATTCAAAAAAAGAATGTGATTCAGTAGTTTTATTTACTGGTTAGTACTAACATTTTGAACATTCAGAATAAAGTTTTCACAAGCGTCTTACTTTTTTAAACTTTTTTCTTTGTAGCAAGTAAAATAACAAAAATACAGAACTTCAAGGAAAATTCAACACAGAAAGTCCCTTAACAAACGGCAAAATCAAAAGCTCAAACACATCAAACAAATTAAATAATTAGTAACTGTCATGTTCCTGACTTGGTACAGACACTGTACATGTATATTGACATCAATTGTCTGTAATTTTTGTAACTTCTCCGCATTTTCACAGTATGATACAAAATTCTAATCCTTATTAAAAGTCGAAAGATACCACTTTTGAAATAAAAACCAGTTGCTTTCTATTCTCTCAGACAATGTGAATATGCGTTTTAACAGACTCAATAGTAACATGATCTTACATCTAACTAGAAAAAAATAAACAACTGTTAAGTCAAATCTATGTTTAAGAAGTATTGTTGATAAAATAGGTTGAAAATATAAATCTAACTGCTCGATGGATGAATTACTACACTTTTCACAGGTGCCACATGCAGAGCAGGATCTGCTTACACTTGAGGTCACCTCCAGTGTTTGATGGGGCTCGTGTTGCTCAGTGTTTTGTTGTGTATGTTATGTTTTGTGTACTATTGTTTGTCTTTTGGTCCTTTACTTTTTTAGCCATGGGGTTCTCAGTTTATTTTCGACTTATGAGTTAGAATGTCCCTTTGGTATATTTCTCCTCTCTTTCACAGTCGTGAAATTCATAAATTGAAAGAATAAAGAATGAATTGACATAAAATACCTGGTGAACAACATAGAATGGTCTCTTTCCGGTAAATGTGATGAATTTGCTTGAATCCAATCAGAGAATTTGTTCAAGCCTTGTAATGAATCAACTGTGTTGGGTGTAACAGTTGTATCCTTAATACTCTCAGTCCATGGGGCCTCATCTTGGGTCTGTTGAGAAAAAAATAATTTGATTTTAACTATAACTTCAAGGCTATGAAGTATCAAAGATCCACCCACCCCAAAAAAAGGGAATAGCTAGTTTTGCATTAGTAAATAGATTGATAATTTTGTTTAAGCCAAACACGAATTGGCTGGAATAGGGTCACATACTTGTATGTTAAAGACTTATCTTCTGATGGTCTTAAGGTGATCCATCGTTCGACCAATTTTAAGTGATTCCACGTATTCTCACTCCCATTTGGTATATTGTGTTTTTTAAATTTTTTTAATTTTAGGAAACTATATAGGAAACGGTTTGGCATTGGTATTAAATTACCACAGCTAATATATATCATTTAAATTCTGCTGCACGTTGATTACTTACTCCGATATATATGAATTCTGCTGTACGTTGTTTATTTACTATATTATACGTTGTTTATTTACTACAAAATACGAAATCTGCTGAAGGTTGTTAATTTATTTCGAAATAAAAATTCTGCTGTACGTTGTTTAATTACTTCAAAATAAGAAATCTGCTGAACGTTTTTTATTTACTTCGAAATAAAAATTCTGCTGTATGTTGTTTATCTACTTCGAAATAAGAACTCTTCCAGTACAAGTAACAAGAATCTTAACCGACTCAAGTGGAAGGGTTTCTATAATATTAACAATCATGCTTAATTCCAAAAGCGAATTGTTCATCGCTTTGCACTTATGCATACAATTGGGAAGTGCTAAATCATAAATTATTACTTATAAGTTGTTTATTCTGCAAATAGGTAATGCATATTGGAGAGCAGGATAACATATTTAGTAATTGTTGAATGTATTCCGCCCGTGGTTTGGAAGACATTTAAGAGTGTCAATATGAAATCAATACTCATAAGATACGATAAAAAAAAACTCCTTCTTCCAACGGGTCACGGTTCACGGTCAATTAGCTTGACCATAAAAAAGAGTTTTTATTTGGATTATTTCAAAACACCATATGTCCTGCCTTTAATGATGCATCGAAAATGACTTATCGTCAAAATCACATAAGTCACTTTCGATGATATGTTTCGATGATATGTTTTGCCATGTACATGTGACACAAAAGGAGCTGGAGATGTTTATTGCGCTTCAGTTTACCTACGAGTTCTAGTTCTGTTGAATTTTCAAAATCTGTATTTTTCTTTTTTTTTATTTTATTTTGTAAACTGTTTACTCTCCTTTCTTCTCTCTTCTTCTGGTTCATGGTGAAATCTTTTGTTCAGAAAATCAGTGTATATTTGGTGTCAGAGAAATTATCATGGTTAATATAAACTCATCGTAGATACCAGGATTAAATTTTGTATGCCAGGCGCGCGTTTCTTCAACATAAGACACATGTTCAGTGACGATCGAATCAAAAAAGTTAAAAGGACCCATAAAAACGAAGTTGGAAAGCATTTAGGAACAAAACATATACAACTCTTTCAAGATTTAAACATTTCAAAACATTGAATCAAGAATGTGAGGAAGAAACATAAAGCAAAACATAAAGCAAAACATTGTCGGATCAAGGGGAGGGATCCGGGGTGTTTGAAACCCCCCCCCCCTTTTTGCCCACTTTTTGACGACCAATGCTTTTGGATGGGGACATATGGTTAGAATTCCCCTTTTAAAATGGGTGCATCCGAACCTACAAAAACACCCATTGAAATTAATAATGCATATCATGCAGTTAAATAAGAAAAAAAATTTTACAACAGTAATCTATACATGTAGTTAAGGATGTTCGCTCCTTTTGCTTTTGAATTTTTGCCAGATATTCGTAATCCTCAGGTTTTATCCATTTAGTGCCATTTAAAATTTTGCCCACTAACCCCTACTTTTCTTTCCATAATTTGATTACGTATAGTTTAAAATGCCATCTTTGAAAATCTTATAAAATCCTTTTTCTGATTTTTTAGTTTCTTTATTTATATACTATCAATTTATAACAGTCATTTAAAAAGCTTGTTATTTCGAAACAGAGTAGCGAACATCCTTAAACCCACAGCTTTGTTTTTCTAAAACTATACCTGCGATATAACAATCCCAGCAAATAAGACCGATATTGTATAATCAGACGTCTGGATATTCTTATACATAGCATCCATCTGAAATGTTAATTATTATATTCATGTTTGATATTTTACACCTCGTTTTAAAATAGCATTCAAAGTTCATCGTTTGATAACATAATTAGTTGGCAAGTGTTGTTTTAAAACAGAAAAGATTTTCGTGAATCACTTACAGGTAATATAATTATGCTTGTGTAATCTTACTTTGTAACCAATAACATCAGAAATTAATTATTTCGATCTTTAATCAGACATAGGAGCCTGTTAGTTAGTGGTTGTCGATTGTTGGTGTTCTTCTTTCTTGTTTTTATATACTGTATGTTGTGTACAAATTGTAATGTTGTACAAATTATAATTTGTACATAATTTTTGTACAAGTTATCAGTGTTTTATGAACCGCTTAACACAAATGAATGATTCAAGCACACAGTCTTTTGTTTCGCATATTTCTGTCATATTTCCATGACTACATGACACAGTCTAATACTGTGCATTGTTACAAAAAACATTATAAGAACACAAACAGACTTTTTATGGATATGATTTTGGTATAAGGAGAAACATAAAAATAGAATGTAAACCATTCAGGTGTCCTTGTTTCCAGTTATAGAACAAGGAGAATGACACTAAATGTTAGGTTGAAGTTTATTAGTTTGAATTTAAGACATTTAACTTATAAATTTTAGAAGATAAACTTTTATCTTTTGGTGCAAAAAGGTATGTGTCAAAAAACTTATAACTTGTACAAAAACCCTGTACAAATTATAATTTGTACAAACTTGCATTTTGTACACAACATATAGATTAGATCGTTGGTTTTCCTATTTGAATTGTTTTACACTAGCAGCCCTTTATAGCTTGCTGTTCGGAGTTAGCCAAGGCTCAGTGTTGAAGGCCGTACTTTGACCTATTATTGTAAACTTTTATACATTGTGACTTGAATGGAGAGTTGTCTCATTGGCACTCATACCACATTTTCGAATCTATATGGAACTTCAATGGTATTTCCAAACGGATTTTGCACAATTTTTTTACCCTGAAGGTAGAAACATCTCTGACTAAGTAAGATCTTTTTTTGAGGCGAGAGATTTAATCTTGCTGTACAGCGATATTTTTTTTAGATATGTACATAAAATATACAACACCAAAAGAAGATGTCTTATACTGTACTGATGAAAGTTTACTTACCCCATTTAAAACAAAGGCATAATATTGGCGGACAGATGTAAGTGCTTCAGTCTCTTTTTCAGATGGTGCCGAAGCCTCACTTTGGTTGTACCAACTAAAACAAAATGTATATGTTTAGTTGTTTTAAAACGCGCATATTATACTGATGTTCAATTCTGTTTTTCGTTTGTTTGTAATTTGCATTGTATTAGTCACTCGTTATGTATATACTTATATAACAAAAAAGACTTTACAACTTATTAATTAAAAGAGTTGTACGATGATGGCCTGAATTTGCCTTAAATGAAGCTTTGTCACAATATTTAACTTAAAACAATATACAAAAGTATGAGAAGTCATAAAAACGAAAAAAGTGTTCTGCCAAATGTATGTTTTAGGCATTGTTGATGGTGTAAAAAATATCATTCTAGAATTCCGATGTTTAGCTCAATTCGATTTTTAACTGCATTTTACAGGTGTATTTTCTTGTAGGAAACACTGGTCTTATCCTAGCTTTGACCTAGCTGGTGGACGTTTCGTCCCCGAGGGTATCACCAGCCCAGTAGTCAGCACGGTGTTGACATGAATATCAATTATATGGTCATTTTTATAAATTTCCTGTTACAAAAATTTGAATATTTCGAAAAACTAAGGAATTTCTTATCCCAGGAATAGATTACCTTAGCCGTATTTGGCTCAATTTTTTGGAATTTTGGGTCCTCAATGCTCTTCAACTTTGTACTTGTTTGGCTTTATAACTATTTTGATCTGAGCGTCACTGATGAGTCTTATGTAGGCGAAACGCGCGTCTGGCGTATTAAATTATAATCCTGGTACATTTAATAACTATTTGAACTATTTAAATGTGTAATAATTGAAAATAGATGTTTTAGGAGGCGTTACACATTACTCATAAAAATTGAGTGGTACATACACGTAGCAGAGGATGCTGCAGTGAATACAGTCTAAAATAAGGCAAAAATTACCCACAAAATATATAATTTATTTATACGTCCAACTAGGTTGTCTTTATGTCATCATTAATGAAGTCATTTGAAGATTGTTTACATTATTTTTGTTAGATCGATACTATTACACTTATTTTTCTCATAAAAAATCATGTTAAAACCTTATGATAATTACTCAATTAAATTGCATACAATTAGAGGGCCAGTCTTCGCCCTTCGGGAACCTCCTATATTCTATTACTCTATTTCCACTTTACTTACTAATCATAAATAGCATAGTCACAGAATATTAAAAGTTCTATTTGGTTCGATCCGGTGGCTCTCTTCTGTCGGTGGTGTTTCCTTACAGGTAGACTTTCAAACCTATCATCTACAATGACGTGACATAACAAGTTAATGGATACATCAATTCACTGGCTAATTGCTGGGTATGTTAAATGTCCATCGGATGATTGTATAAATGTTCATGATGAGGTGAAATAATATAAGTAAACTATCAATTATTTTAAATTTCATAATCACCGCCTATTAATGCCGTTTTATACAACATGAATATTTAGTAGTTTTTTTTTCAAAGTCGTAGTTGATAGTAATTGTTGTCTATTATACACTCATTATTTTTTTTTATTCCTGTTAACTTTTTTATGTTACATCTAAATAAAAAAAAAATTAAAAAAAAATAGAAGCCACTATTTCCACGTACTCTCCAATGAAAACTTTTTTTTTGTATTGCAAGATCTGAATTGATTCGAGTACTGTTGTATTTTGAAACAGCAACTTCTATGAACAAACTTGTTCTCATGTTTGATAACTTTATCTTGAATTCTATGCGACTGTGAGAGGTTAAGCTAGCTATAAAACCATTTTCTACATAAGGAAATACCTGTACCAAGTCCGGAATATGACAGTTGTATTCCGTCCGTTTGATGTGTTTGAGCTTTTGATTTTGCCATTTGATAAGGGATTTTCATTTTTTGCATTTCCCTTGGAGCTCATTATTTTTTTGTTATTTTACTTTTTTTTGGAAATATCTTATGCAATAATTTCAACCTAAAATGTGACATGTAGATAACAACGTTATTATATTTGCCTTTTCATGCAACTTCAGCTTCTATCAAGTAAGAGTTAAGGGGGTATCCAACACTTTTACTAACATAGATTGAGCTCGTTTAATTTTCGTAAAATTTTGACAAAATATTTTCTTTGACCTGTTGACAAAGACAAAAAAAATCAAAAAATTTCAACCATACAATTTACAGGAATAATTTCATTGAATATATAACAGTTTGACACACACAAATTTCATTATTGAGAAGCTTGATTTCTCTTTTCTAATATCATTTGATTAAAGCGTTCTGTTGATTTACAAAGAGTAAAATCCCTTATGTATTGTGTACCCCCTTATTACATTTAGATTTTCATATAAACGATAAAATGACAAAAAGACCTGGAATATTTTACTCACCGGATTGTAATCCATCTCCAAACTCAGTTCGATTTCTAATTTCTTTGATCAACTCAAATGTGTTGCTGCCGGAAAGTAACGAAGACAATCTTTCTTTGGGTGATTGGAGGATAAAACTGTCACCACCGGAATTGAAAGTCCCAAACTAAAAATGAAGGTAACAAATCCTCTTAAATGTGGACTAACATCTTATCAGGCACTAAGTGGTTTTATTTGTGCAAAGAACGTTCGATAGTCCCTTTGTTTTCTAAAGTACAACCATCTTTGGATTGTGAACATGGAATGATTTTGTTTGAAATGATTTTTGTAATGTTTAGGATTTTTTTAATACATGTACCACAGAATGTTTATTATCTAATTATATTTCAAATCATCAAGTATATTACTTCATTAATTGAATCCCAAATCGGCATTCAGATAAGAATGTGCTATGCTCCTCTTTACAGGCGGAGCGCGAATGATTTGCTATCCAAGCATAGTATAGTCAGGTTTAACCTTCGTCGCCGAAATAATGGGCAAATGTGCAGAATAAAGGGCCCAAAATTACAGAATAGTGAAAAATAGGGCAAACAAATAAAGAATAAAGAATAAAGAGGTGATAATATATGAAATAGAGAATAATGGCCGAAAAATATGAAAAATAGATTAAAGAATACAAAAATAAAGGACAACCATCCAGACCCTCATAAAACCTCGATTTTAAAAATCTGAGGTTTTAGTGTACTTGATAAAGGTAAATCTAGAAAGGCACTTCAGACGCACAAACTTTAAGTGTTCGTTTCATTCGCAAAAACTCTTTGATGGACAAATAGATAATTGCTGGTGGGATAAATAATGGCTTGTTGTCAAGCAAAAATTCTAAGTTTAAGATTTATATGTATCAACCATTTGATACAAAAAGGAAAATAAACTGCGTAATATCTATAAACGATGAATGCTAAGTTCATTCTTTTTACACACGAATATGACCCCTACAGGTGCAAGCTATTACTTTCATATAGCATTTTTTTATTGCCCTTTTCTAAGTATCGCTTAACATCCAGGATAGATTTACAAATTTAAATACAACGGAAAAAAAACCAGCTTAATTACAATAATCGATGAATGCTAAACACATGTACTTTTTTTTTACAGGTACACACGGATCTGACCCCACTTAGGTGCAAGCAATTATTTTTTGGCTTTTAGTTCCAACCTCTTTCCAAGTATCGTTTAACATCCGGGATAGGTTTCAAATTTAAAGAATGTGATAATTTTTATGCCATGAACATTTTTTATTTTTTTAAATATTTGTACGAAAAACAGTACAGAAGTGTGATTATGCGATGAAAGTAATTTTACACCGTAACAATAGGAGATTGGGTGTTCAATGATTATTTCTCCAGTTTATCATACAATTTTATGCTTCGCAGAGCAAAATATTATCAATGTTCATTATATCGAAATCACTGATTATTTACAAATTTTAAATATGAACACATTCAAAAACTATAAATTTCTAGAATAAATTAAATAAATCAGTTGCTCATAGGACCATTGAACTCTTTCATTATCATGTCCAGTGCAACTTGAAATCTTTGCCAAGCCCCTTATTTGGAAAATATTTAAAAAAAGTTCAAATCACAATGAGCATGTGCACTAAGTTTCCATTTAGTGTGACCAAATTTTCAAGGTTTACTACATTAAACCAAAGATTTAGCCTGATACAGGACGGGCAAATGCACGAAGGAATGCAAAGATCGGAAGATTGTATTTAAATATTTAGGTTAATAACAAAAACACAAGAATTAAAAAAAATCAAATAGAATTACAATGAAATGCTTTGCAAGATTTAACAATTTTTTCTCCAAATGTGATATTTGTTGTACTGCCCTTATAGCAAAGCCCCTTTCGGAAGCATACAGTAAAAGGTCAGACTCTTGGAATAAAAAAATGTAGATTTTACCACGCATTTTTTAATGAATATCTACCAATACGCTCAATATTCCGAGCATTTAGATTTTGAAGATCGTCTATATTGTAGTGAAATTATAGGGAGAGGTCTTGTGGCTAAAAAATGGTATGTATTCCGATTATTCAGAGTTTTCAAAATAACTTATAAATTGACGAACTTAAGGGTTGAACCCTCATTCTTTTTAAACATACAAAAGAAGTAAAAATATTGCTGGTTTGCTAATATCGACCTTACCATACTTTCTGACTGCTTTTTGTCTTGTTGAACTACAAACGATGCTCCTTTCTTTATATCTTGATAAAATATGGACTCCTGTAATAATTAAACTAGAGATTAGCTACAAATATTATAATAGTGATTTTTATATAATTTTCCTTAAGTCAACATATTCATTAAACGTTATCAAATACTATGGGATAACCTCAGTTAACTCCCTTTGAGAGAGTCTGAAAAAAATCAAAATATGCCAGCTTTATCAAGTGATGCGTAATTTATCCTCCCCCTCCCCCCCCTCCCCCCCCCCTTTTCCCCCTACCCCGATATAGCCGCCGGAGAATTAGTGTTTCTTTTATTTACACCCAGTATTAAGTACAATTGATCATTTCGTAGTCCATTGCAACAAAAGCGAAAACCCTGTGGTATATTTTAAAGCAGAATTCTACCTTTTGTTCTTGTAGGTAGATGTCTGTTAGTGTTCCTTGACTCAAGGATAAAGTTGGAACATTAGTCTTGATGTCGTCATTCCGTACTAAATGGAAATGAACTTGTGACCCTTCAACTTTTAGGTCAAGGTCATAAGTCTGTGGATGAAAGCTGTCGTCTGCTGATCGTCTTGTACGTTGACCCTGTGATATTTCAACTGGTATTTCTTCTGTACAATAGAATAAAGATAAGATATAAACATAAAAATGTAAAAAATACAATTATAAATCTTCTTTATAGATATAATAATATCTCTTTAAAGACACCATTCTGCGATATACTTTCTCAACTGTATACCTGTGGCTTTCAATTCATTTATCAAAGTCTGAGTAACCTTCAGGGAAATTTGTACAAGTGAAAAATGCAGTTCTAGCATTGTTGGACTGCATTCAAGACGAACAAGTATTTCATAGTTACCAATTGGCTTTCCAGTCATGAACATGTATCGTGAATGTCGAAAGGTATCTATTAAAACCAAAAAATATATGGATACATAACAAGAAATTATGTCTTCCCTTACGCTATATTACAAAAAACAGACATAGCTTTATTTATGTTTGATTTTGGTCTTTTTGCTCATTTGACCATTGTAACATTTGCATCCCCCTTTTTTATCCAAAGATATTTTGGTTTCAAACATCCTTTGTAGAAATGTTCATCAAAATAGGTACTGAATACTGCTTTAACACCAGTTATTTGACGGCTAATTTAAAAATGGTCGACATAATAATTTTCTATTCGGCAACAACGGTAGTGCAACTTCTTTATACTGTTAGTACTTCAAAAAATGGTTATTTATTTATTGATTTCTATTGACCTAATGTCCATTAACCAGGCTGAAGCTAGCGAACAATAACTAGCGAACAATAAGGCGATATATCTAACAACCGAAAAAATGAATAAGACAGCAACGGCCGTTTAATGAAAAATATTTAAACAGGCAGAAATTCTTTCCAAATATTGCAATTTCAACTCAATCATGAAATCGTATTTATCCCATCCATTGATAAAACAAGTCACATCCCTTTTTAGGCTAATATTCAGTACCACAGTAAATCTGCATCTGTCAACGGATTATTTGTAGGTGCAAGACCACCAATGCACCCTCTTCGATTTAGAACGTATGTAAAAGTAGTCCTTCCCTGTAAAATACAGCACCTTTGATGCCTTTAATGTCATTGTTTAATTGAACTAAGATACACATTTGCAGAAATGGGGGTTGGCCTATTCCATGGCTTCTAGAGAAAAATAATGAGGGGTGTCACGGGGTATGACTATATAGGTCTTGTAGAGGAGAAACAGGCGCATCTTTTGCGCAAAGTATCGAAGGGCACTATGTTCAAAAATCTGAAACTAGAGCTCAAAATTTGAAAACAAATTATTTTAAACAGGGGGTTGGCCTATTCCATGGCTTCTAGAGAAAAAATAATGAGGGGTGTCACGGGGTATGACAATATAGGTCTTGTAGAGGAGAAAGAGGCGCATCTTTTGCGCAAGGTATCGAAAAGCGCTATGTTCAAAAATCTGAAACTAGAGCTCAAAATTTGAAAAAAAATTGTTTTAAACAGGGGGGTTCGCCTATTCCATGGCTTCTAGAGAAAAATAATGAGGGGTGTCACGGGGTATAGCTATATAGGTGTTGTAGAGGAGAAATAGGCGCATCGTTTGCGCAAGGTTTCGAGTGACGCTATGTTCAAAAATTTGAAACTAGAGATCGAAATTTTAAAAAATTGGAAAAAAACCGGGAGTCTGGCCTTTTCCATGGCTTCTAGAGAAAAATAATGAGGGGTGTCACGGGGTATGACTATATAGGTCTTGTAGAGGAGAAACAGGCGCATCTTTTGCGCAAGGTATCGAAGGGTGCTATGTTCAAAAATCTGAAACTAGAGCTCAAAATTTGAAAAAAAAAATGTTTTAAACTTGGGGGTTCGCCTATTCCATGGCTTCTAGAGAAAAATAATGAGGGGTGTCACGGGGTATGGCTATATAGGTCTTGTAGAAGAGAAACAGGCGCATCTTTTGCGCAAGGTATCGAAGGGCGCTATGTTCAAAAATCTGAAACTAGAGATCAAAATTTGAAAAAAAATTGTTTTAAACAGGGGGGTTCGCCTATTCCATGGCTTCTAGAGAAAAATAATGAGGGGTGTCACGGGGTATGACTATACAGGTCTTTTAGAGGAGAAACAGGCGCATCTTTTGCGCAAGTATCGAAGGGTGCTATGTTCAAAAATCTGAAACTAGAGCTCAAAATTTGAAAAAAAATGTTAAAAACAGGGGGGTTCGCCTATTCCAATGTTTCTAGAGAAAAATAATTAGGGGTGTCACGGGGTATGACTATATAGGTCTTGTAGAGGAAAAACAGGCGCATCTTTTGCGCAAGGTATCGAAGGGCGCTATGTTCAAAAATCTGAAACTAGAGCTCAAAATTTGAAAAAAAATTGTTTTAAACAGGGGAGGGGGGGGGGGGGGGGGGGGGGGGTTGGCATATTCCATGGCTTCTAGAGAAAAATAATGAGGGGTGTCACGGGGTATGACTATATAGGTCTTGTAGAAGAGAAACAGGCGCATCTTTTGCGCACGATATCGAAGGGTGCTATGTTCAAAAATCTGAAACTAGAGCTCAAAAATTGAAAAAAAATTGTTTTAAACTTGGGGGCTGGCTTTTTCCATGGCCTTTAGAGAAAAATAATGAGGGGTGTCACGGGGTATGACTATATAGGTCTTGTAGAGGAGAAACAGGCGCATCTTTTGTGCAAGGTATCGAAGGGTGCTATGTTCAAAAATCTGAAATTAGAACTCAAAATTTGAAAAAAAATTGTTTTAAACAGAGGGGGGGTTCGCCTATTCCATGGCTTCTAGAGAAAAATAATGAGGGGTGTCACGGGGTATAGCTATAAAGGTGTTGTAGAGGAGAAATAGGCGCATCGTTTGCGCAAGGTTTCGAGTGGCGCTATGTTCAAAAATTTGAAACTAGGGATCGAAATTTTTAAAAAATTGGAAAAAAACCAGGAGTTTGGCCTTTTCCATGGGTTCTAGAGAAAAATAATGAGGGGTGTCACGGGATATGACTATATAGGTCTTGTAGAGGAGAAACAGGCGCATCTTTTGCGCAAGGTATCGAAGGGTGCTATGTTCAAAATCTGAAACTAGAGCTCAAAATTTGAAAAAAAAATTGTTTTAAACAGGGGAGGGGGGGGGGGGGGGGTGGGGGCATATTCCATGGCTTCTAGAGAAAAATAATGAGGGGTGTCACGGGGTATGACTATATAGGTCTTGTAGAAGAGAAACAGGCGCATCTTTTGCGCAAGATATCGAAGGGTGCTATGTTCAAAAATCTGAAACTAGAGCTCAAAAATTGAAAAAAAATTGTTTTAAACTTGGGGGCTGGCTTTTTCCATGGCCTTTAGAGAAAAATAATGAGGGGTGTCACGGGGTATGACTATATAGGTCTTGTAGAAGAGAAACAGGCGCATCTTTTGCGCAAGATATCGAAGGGTGCTATGTTCAAAAATCTGAAACTAGAGCTCAAAAATTGAAAAAAAATTGTTTTAAACTTGGGGGCTGGCTTTTTCCATGGCCTTTAGAGAAAAATAATGAGGGGTGTCACGGGGTATGACTATATAGGTCTTGTAGAGGAGAAACAGGCGCATCTTTTGTGCAAGGTATCGAAGGGTGCTATGTTCAAAAATCTGAAATTAGAACTCAAAATTTGAAAAAAAATTGTTTTAAACAGGGGGGGGTTCGCCTATTCCATGACTTCTAGAGAAAAATAATGAGGGGTGTCACGGGGTATAGCTATAAAGGTGTTGTAGAGGAGAAATAGGCGCATCGTTTGCGCAAGGTTTCGAGTGGCGCTATGTTCAAAAATTTGAAACTAGGGATCGAAATTTTTAAAAAATTGGAAAAAAACCAGGAGTTTGGCCTTTTCCATGGGTTCTAGAGAAAAATAATGAGGGGTGTCACGGGATATGACTATATAGGTCTTGTAGAGGAGAAACAGGCGCATCTTTTGCGCAAGGTATCGAAGGGTGCTATGTTCAAAATCTGAAACTAGAGCTCAAAATTTGAAAAAAAAATTGTTTTAAACTTGGGGGTTGGCCTATCCCATGGCTTCTAGATAAAAATAATGAGGGGTGTCACGGGGTATGGCTATATAGGTCTTGTAGAAGAGAAACAGGCGCATCTTTTGCCTTAGGTATCGAAGGGCGCTATGTTCAAAAATCTGAAACTACAGCTCAAAATTTGAAAAACAAATTGTTTTAAACAGGGGGTTGGCCTATTCCATGGCCTCTAGAGAAAAAATAATGAGGGGCGTCACGGGGTATGACTATATAGGTTTTGTAGAGGAGAAATAGGCGCATATTTTGCGCAAGGTATCGAAGGGCGCTATGTTCAAAAATCTGAAACTAGAGCTCAAAATTTGAAAACAAATTGTTTTAAACAGGGGGGTTCGCCTATTCCATGGCTTCTAGAGAAAAATAATGAGGGGTGTCACGGGGTATAGCTATATAGGTGTTGTAGAGGAGAAATGGGCGCATCGTTTGCGCAAGGTTTCGAGTGGCGCTATGTTCAAAAATTTGAAACTAGAGATCGAAATTTTAAAAAATTGGAAAAAACCGGGAGTTTGGCCTTTTCCATGGCTTCTAGGGAAAAATAATGAGAGGTGTCACGGGGTATGACTATATAGGTCTTGTAGAGGAGAAACAGGCGCATCTTTTGCGCAAGGTATTGAAGGGCGCTATGTTCGAAAATCTGAAACTAGAGATCAAAATTTGAAAAAAAATTGTTGTAAACTTGGGGATTGGCCTTTTCCATGGCTTCTAGAGAAAAATAATGAGGGGTGTCACGGGGTATGACTATATAGGTCTTGTAGAGGAAAAACAGGCCCATCTTTTGCGCAAGGTATCGAAGGGCGCTATGTTCAAAAATCTGAAACTAGAGCTCAAAATTTGAAAAAAAAATTGTTTTAAACTTGGGGGTTGGCCTATTCCATGGCTTCTAGAGAAAAATAATGAGGGGTGTCACGGGGTATGGCTATATAGGTCTTGTAGAGGAGAAACAGGCGCATCTTTTGCGCAAGGTATCGAAGGGCGCTATGTTCAAAAATCTGAAACTAGAGATCAAAATTTGAAAAAAAATTGTTTTAAACAGGGGGGTTCGCCTATTCCATGGCTTCTAGAGAAAAATAATGAGGGGTGTCACGGGGTATGACTATATAGGTCTTTTAGAGGAGAAACAGGCGCATCTTTTGCGCAAGTATCGAAGGGTGCTATGTTCAAAAATCTGAAACTAGAGCTCAAAATTTGAAAAAAAATGTTAAAAACAGGGGGGTTCGCCTATTCCAATGTTTCTAGAGAAAAATAATTAGGGGTGTCACGGGGTATGACTATATAGGTCTTGTAGAGGAAAAACAGGCGCATCTTTTGCGCAAGGTATCGAAGGGCGCTATGTTCAAAAATCTGAAACTAGAGCTCAAAATTTGAAAAAAAATTGTTTTAAACAGGGGGGCTGGCTTTTTCCATGGCCTTTAGAGAAAAATAATTAGGGGTGTCACGGGGTATGACTATATAGGTCTTGTAGAAGAGAAACAGGCGCATCTTTTGCGCAAGATATCGAAGGGTGCTATGTTAAAAAATCTGAAACTAGAGCTCAAAAATTGAAAAAAAATTGTTTTAAACTTGGGGGCTGGCTTTTTCCATGGCCTTTAGAGAAAAATAATTAGGGGTGTCACGGGGTATGACTATATAGGTCTTGTAGAGGAGAAACAGGCGCATCTTTTGTGCAAGGTATCGAAGGGCGCTATGTTCGAAAATCTGAAACTAGAGATCAAAATTTGAAAAAAAATTGTTGTAAACTTGGGGATTGGCCTTTTCCATGGCTTCTAGAGAAAAATAATGAGGGGTGTCACGGGGTATGACTATATAGGTCTTGTAGAGGAAAAACAGGCCCATCTTTTGCGCAAGGTATCGAAGGGCGCTATGTTCAAAAATCTGAAACTAGAGCTCAAAATTTGAAAAAAAAATTGTTTTAAACTTGGGGGTTGGCCTATTCCATGGCTTCTAGAGAAAAATAATGAGGGGTGTCACGGGGTATGGCTATATAGGTCTTGTAGAGGAGAAACAGGCGCATCTTTTGCGCAAGGTATCGAAGGGCGCTATGTTCAAAAATCTGAAACTAGAGCTCAAAATTTGAAAACAAATTATTTTAAACAGGGGGTTGGCCTATTCCATGGCTTCTAGAGAAAACATAATGAGGGGTGTCACGGGGTATGACAATATAGGGTTTGTAGAGGAGAAACAGGCGCATCTTTTGCGCAAGGTATCGAAGGGCGCTATGTTAAAAAATCTGAAACTAGAGCTCAAAAATTGAAAAAAAAAATTGTTTTAAACTTGGGGGTTGGCCTATTCCATGGCTTCTATAGAAAAATAATGAGGGTTGTCACGGGGTATAGCTATATAGGTGTTGTAGAGGAGAAATAGGCGCATCGTTTGCGCAAGGTTTCGAGTGGCGCTATGTTCAAAAATTTGAAACTAGGGATCGAAATTTTTAAAAATTGGAAAAAAACCGGGAGTTTGGCCTTTTCCATGGCTTCTAGAGAAAAATAATGAGGGGTGTCACGGGGTATGACTATATAGGTCTTGTATAGGAGAAACAGGCACATCTTTTGCGCAAGGTATCGAAGGGTGCTATGTTCAAAAATCTGAAACTAGAGCTCAAATTTTGAAAAATAAATTGTTTTAAACTTGGGGGTTGGCCTATTCCATGGCTTCTAGAGAAAAATAATGAGGGGTGTCACGGGGTATACCTATATAGGTGTTGTAGAGGAGAAATAGGCGCATCGTTTGCGCAAGGTTTCGAGTGGCGCTATGTTAAAAAATTTGAAACTAGGGATCGAAATTTTAAAAAATTGGAAAAAACCGGGAGTTTGGCCTTTTCCATGGCTTCTAGAGAAAAATAATGAGGGGTGTCACGGGGTATGACTATATAGGTCTTGTACAGGAGAAACAGGCGCATCGTTTGCGCAAGGTTTCAAGTGGCGCTATGTTAAAAAATCTGAAACTAGGGCTCAAAATTTGAAAAAAGATGCGAAAAATCCGGAGGGTTGGCCAATTCCATGGCTTCTAGAGAACAATAATGAGGGGTGTCACGGGGTTTGGCTATATAGGTCTTGTAGAGGGGAAACAGGCGCATCGTTTGCGCAAAGTTTCGAGTGGTGCTATGTTTAATTATATCTAAAGGAACTAAACTTTAGCTATGAATAAAGCCAAATCAAGTGTCACACGAGAACGTAAAAACCGTGAAAAAGACATATCAGAGTTAGCAGAGACTAATTGTTAGAATTTCTTGTCATATGAAAAGTCGAAATGAAAATCCAAACTCCCCGATTCGAATTACATGATAAAAGAGATGTTAAAATTTGTATTGTAAGTACTGATAAAGAGAAGGCTGAATTTTATTCAAGGGTATTTCGATAAAAAAATGATAAAGATGAAACTTTTAGAAAGAATTTAGTGGGAATAACCTTCTAGCAACGAAACTTTTAAACAAAAGAAAAGTTAGCAAATTATTGAAAAACTTGAATACGTTAAGAAAACTCACCAGATGCTGACCAGTTACAACCTAAAGTTTTATATACACTTACAGACTTAATTGACACTCTACTTTGTATTATTTTCAACAGTTTATATTCATCAGAGGTTTTGTACGAGTATGTTAGAAAATTGGCCAAGATTACTGCGTTGTTTAAAAGGGGAGATAAAAAGCCATAGTAAAACTACGTACAGACCAGTTAATTTTACCAGCATCATATGATAGATCATGGAAAGGTTTATAAAAAAAGACAGTTGTAGACCATGACATGATACGGCCTATTAAGCGATTCTTCATTCGAATGTCGCAAGAAAGCCGATGATGACAATCTAAGCGCAACATCCTTGAAGACAGTATAAGTACCCTCGTCCACGTGCGGGCATTATCTGATTTAAATGGATAAATATACACAGGTTGATAATATTTTCCCCCAAGACACCCTCGTCAACATTGGAACTCGAGCGAGGAATGAACGATTAGAAGTATTCGACTTACCAAACGAACCACGAACGGATCTAGAGACATATTGGACGTTTACTTTGATTCTTATGGACGTAAGACCGAACGGTGGCATATAGTTGTTAATGTCTGTGTCATTTGCAATTGGTCTCTTGTGGAGAGTTGTCTAATTAGTAATCAAATCACATCTTCTTATCGTTATATTTAAATCTCCTAAAGGAGATGATTGAGTACCTACGATGCGAGATCCGATACAACACAGATGAAATACAGATAAGAGGAAAGATGGTCTGTTGGCACCTTTGCTGAAATTTGTCGGAATGTTAATTGTTTGATGAAGTGGTGTTCACTTTGCTGTTATAAATAAATAAAACATAGTAAACTAATTTGGATTCTATGGATAAGGAGGGATGACCATGGGTAGTTTCTGCGAAGACATGAACATGAACGACAATCGTATCATCATTCTGAAAGCTCCGAGGGCCAGTTCTGATGCTGTAATGAAACGGTGAGTCATTCAAAACGTAAAAGACAGCACGTATGAAACCTAGTACGACCAGATTAAAACGGATATAAAATGGATGAAGATAGAATATAATGAATCAATCAAAGAACATGAGAAAAAATAATGGACAAGATGGGCAAGTGTGAATGTGTTTCTACCAACGGGGAAACAGTAGCCCAAACTTAAATATGCAGGTCCATTTGATTCGTGAACTTCACGAAAATAAGATGATAGAGGACCCGGGGATGAATGGTTGGTATGCAAAGAAATAGGAAGAACAAGAAAGAGAAATTTGATAGATTGACGGAGAGAGATGTGTTAAAATTAACTAGAGTAGATATCGAAGCCATAAAAATTCAGGTCCATACGTTGCATCATAATCAGACCATTAAACCCATTGTTGCTAGTAACCGTCACATTCTCATAACCTTTACAGTCTTTGCGAATCGTCAAGAATATAAAGCTTCCTGAGAGGTTGTGACTCCATGGCTAATTGTTTGTTCCAAGAATTAAATGACTCAGATTACCTCTTCATTTCACAAAGATATATTACATCAAACCGATTTCGCCTTTGTAATACCTTATCGATGCGGTACGAGGTCTTCTGAAGTTCGGGAACCCTGTATCTCCCCATCGTTGAAATCGTGGGAATTGGTAAACACGCGGAATCGACCCTGCTGTATGGGAGGCATGTCAGCGTACAAGTTAGAGTACACCTAATTTTTTTTCATATTCCTTATGACTTGCAGCCACATGAGTCATTTTGATCGATCTTTGTTTGGTGGTGTTTTTGTTGGTGAACGAGATCATCCAAAGTACCAATCATGCATGTGCGCGTAGAGTTGGATTTAAAGTATTTGAACATCTTCTCCTTCATTGTGTAGTTCCAGCGGTCGACAACACTCGACTTTCCTCCATTCTGGCGGGATCAATAGAGTAGACATCAACGTTGTATTTTCGGCAAAACACCTTGACCTCTTTGATGTAGAATATGGTAACCTTGGCCGTCCATAGTTTCATGGGAATTAAAACGGTGACCTATATGTGTTAATTTCTGTGTCATTTGGTCTCTTGTGAAGAGTTGTCTCATTGGCAATCATACCACATCTTCTTTTTTATATTAAATACCGTTTAAAAAGCAACTTTGATCGTTACACCTTTCTTGGTCTTGGGCGATACCAGGCAGCCGTATTTGGAGAAAACATTGATGATGCTAAGAATTAACGTGAATTCTTTGGTCTTTTAAGAGAACTCAGTAGTTTCACCTTAACCCACAACGATCACGCATCGTTTCTCGAATTTACGTCGAAATGTGTAACTCTTCAACTAATTCATCCGTCTAACGAACTTTTCTATTGGGACGCCCATGACCGAATTGTACTTTGATGAAGATGGGGGGTCAAACGATGCCGCGTTCCATTCTCTTTCTCATTACTGGATTATTGCTAGTGTTCAGTTAACAATGCATGTTCTTGTCACGGACATAGTTGCGAGTTGTTGTATCCTTATGTTGAGCATCGACAGCTTATTTACACGGCTCGGTTTAACGTGGGTGACAAGGTTCGAATCCCAAAGAAGAGAAGTACATTTCAGAAGGAATACACACCTTTCGGTGGACCAAAGAAGTCTATAAACAGCAGAGATGACGATACGCAGCTTGAGCGACTCACTGATAGGTATGGACCAAGGTTTTGGGGTTCTAACTGTATGTAATCGTTTATTCAGCTTAGAACCAGGTCCCGTGAAGTTGTGCCCCAAACGATGCATCTCCATCGGGGAGTTGTTATTCAGTTTGTTCATGAAACATCCACTGGTAGTACTCATGAAGTGGAATATCCTCGATCCACCCCCTCCGTCGTCGCCCGTTGCTAGTTGTAAATTCGAAGCGACTGTTTGTCTGTGTACTCCTCTTACATCTCAGACTGCCGTTAGAAGACGCTGCTAAACAACCTACTTCTCCGGTCGGGGTGTTTATGTTTCGATAGTTTGTACGTCTTTGGAAAATCTCTTGTCTATCTCAACCTATCTATCAACTCATGCAAAAAGCACTGGTGAAGAGGTTCTCAAAACACGACATACGCGACCTCCTGTCCGTTATTATATAGGTAAGGGTCCCACATTACTCATCGATGTCATTGACGTTTTTTCCCAACCAAGGCAGCGTAGCAGCGTCGACGCGTTCGTCTTCGAACATACTCTCGGGGATTGACACCAACCATAAGATCTTGGTGAATTTTGATGACTTGGTGCTGAGCAAGCAGAATCAGGGCGAAGACTTCTACGCCCGAGTTAAACTCAACAACGCAGACTGATTCTATTTCTGTCAAAACTCTCGCGCAAGACGATCCAACTTTGTGTGTCAAGATCTCTTTCAACAATACAAGAATTTTCAAACACATTCACCGTGACCTATGTTCGGACCTTGCATTCAAGGAGTTCAAAACCTTATGCAACATCTGCTGGTCTGAGCCATCAAACGCTAAAGGTGATTTGTTTTCAAACGCTATCAAACACTAGGCGATGTTTTCTGAAACGCTTTCAAACACTTAAGGGAGTTTTTACAAACGCTTTACATTACGTTTGTAATACTAGTAATTGCCGAACCCAAGCAGCATGAAGTTCTTTACAGGAAGTTCCAGGATGAAAAGCACACCATCAAATCTAG